TAAGGCTAAAGAGGTCTTTGTGGCATTTATGGATTTGGAAAAGGCGTATGACAGGGTGGATCGGGGGGCAATGTGGCAGATGTTGCAAGTGTATGGTGTAGGAGGTAGGTTACTGAAAGCAGTGAAGAGTTTTTACGAGGATAGTGAGGCTCAAGTTAGAGTATGTAGGAAAGAGGGAAATTATTTCCCAGTAAAAGTAGGCCTTAGACAAGGATGTGTGATGTCACCGTGGTTGTTTAATATATTTATAGATGGGGTTGTAAGAGAAGTAAATGCGAGGGTCTTGACAAGAGGCGTGGAGTTAAAAGATAAAGAATCACACACAAAGTGGGAGTTGTCACAGCTGCTCTTTGCTGATGACACTGTGCTCTTGGGAGATTCTGAAGAGAAGTTGCAGAGATTGGTGGATGAATTTGGTAGGGTGTGCAAAAGAAGAAAATTAAAGGTGAATACAGGAAAGAGTAAGGTTATGAGGATAACAAAAAGATTAGGTGATGAAAGATTGAATATCAGATTGGAGGGAGAGAGTATGGAGGAGGTGAATGTATTCAGATATTTGGGAGTGGACGTGTCAGCGGATGGGTCTATGAAAGATGAGGTGAATCATAGAATTGATGAGGGAAAAAGAGTGAGTGGTGCACTTAGGAGTCTGTGGAGACAAAGAACTTTGTCCTTGGAGGCAAAGAGGGGAATGTATGAGAGTATAGTTTTACCAATGCTCTTATATGGGTGTGAAGCATGGGTGATGAATGTTGCAGCGAGGAGAAGGCTGGAGGCAGTGGACATGTCAAGTCTGAGGGCAATGTGTGGTGTGAATATAATGCAGAGAATTCGTAGTTTGGAAGTTAGGAGGAGGTGCGGGATTACCAAAACTGTTGTCCAGAGGGCTGAGGAAGGGTTGTTGAGGTGGTTCGGACATGTAGAGAGAATGGAGCGAAACAGAATGACTTCAAGAGTGTATCAGTCTGTAGTGGAAGGAAGGCGGGGTAGGGGTCGGCCTAGGAAAGGTTGGAGAGAGGGGGTAAAGGAGGTTTTGTGTGCGAGGGGCTTGGACTTCCAGCAGGTATGCATGAGCGTGTTTGATAGGAGTGAATGGAGACAAATGGTTTTTAATACTTGACGTGCTGTTGGAGTGTGAGCAAAGTAACATTTATGAAGGGGTTCAGGGAAACCGGCAGGCCGGACTTGAGTCCTGGAGATGGGAAGTACAGTGCCTGCACTCTGAAGGAGGGGTGTTAATGTTGCAGTTTAAAAACTGTAGTGTAAAGCACCCTTCTGGCAAGACAGTGATGGAGTGAATGATGGTGAAAGTTTTTCTTTTTCGGGCCACCCTGCCTTGGTGGGAATCGGCCAGTGTGATAATAAATAAAAAAAAATAATGTATATAGGAGAATGGGTTACTAGCTCCTTGCTTCCGGCATTTTAGCTGCCTCTTACAACATGCATAGCTTACGGAGGAAGAATTCTGTTCCACGTCCCCATGGAGACAAGAGGAAATAAACCAAAACAAGAACTAGTAAGAAAATAGAAGAAAACACAGAGGGGTGTGTATACATATCCTTGTACATGCATGTGTAGTGTGACCTAAGTGTAAGTAGAAGTAGCAATAGTGTGATAAAAAAAAAAAAAAAAAATAATAATAATAATAAATACGATATAATTGAAGAAGGAAGTTGTACAAAAATACGAGGGAGTGGTTGACACATCGTCAGTGTGGCTTTGTTTATGCTGGAGTGAGCATTAGTCTCCCTGCTCTTCCAAACATTTCACAATAATTCATTGTGTTTGGTACTTGTAGATTGAGTGCGACTGGAGTGGTAGAGGCAGTGGTTGAGGCAGCTGTTGAGGCAACTGTTGAGGCAGCTGTTGAGGCAGCGATTGAGGCAGCGATTGTGGCAGTGGGTGAGGCAGCGATTGAGGCAGTGGGTGAGGCAGCTGTTGAGGCAGCGATTGAGGCAGTGGTTGAGGCAGCTATTGAGGCAGTGGGTGAGGCAGCTGTTGAGGCAGCAATTGAGGCAGTGGGTGAGGCAGCTGTTGAGGCAGCTGTTGAGGCAGCTGTTGAGGCAGTGCATGAGGCAGTGCATGAGGCAGCTGTTGAGGCAGCAATTGAGGCAGCTGTTGAGGCAGCGATTGAGGCAGCTGTTGAGGCAGCGATTGAGGCAGCTGTTGAGGCAGCGATTGAGGCAGCTGTTGAGGCAGCAATTGAGGCAGCTGTTGAGGCAGCAATTGAGGCAGTGGTCACTGAGGCAGCTGTTGAGGCAGCTATTGAGGCAGTGAGTGAGGCAGCTGTTGAGGCAGCAATTGAGGCAACTGTTGAAGTAGCGACTGAGGCAGTGGGTGAGGCAGCTGGTGAGGAAGCGATTGAGGCAGTGGTATTTAATAACATACATGTTATTAATAATAATAATACATGTTATTAATATGTACTATTATTATTTATAACATATATGTTATTAAATCCTAGGTAGTAGGTTGGTAGACAGCAACCGCCCAGGGAGGTACTACCGTCCTGCCAAGTGACTGTAAAACGAAAGCCTGTAATTGTTTTACATGATGGTAAGATTGCTGGTGTCTTTTTTCTGTCTCATAAACATGCAAGATTTCAGGTACGTCTTGCTACTTCTACTTACACTTAGGTCACACTACACATACATGTACAAGCATATATATACACACCCCTCTGGGTTTTTTGCTATTTTCTTTCTAGTTCTTGTTCTTGTTTATTTCCTTTCATCTCCATGGGGAAGTGGAACAGAATTCTTCCTCCGTAAGCCATGCGTGTTGTAAGAAGCGACTAAAATGCCGGGAGCAAGGGGCTAGTAACCCCTTCTCCTGTATAAATTACTAAATTTGAAAAGAGAAACTTTTGTTTTTCTTTTTGGGCCACCCTGCCTTGGTGGGATACGGCTGGTTTGTTGAAAGAAGAAGAAGATGTTATTAAATACCACTGCCTCAACCACTGAATTATTGTGAAATGTTTGGAAGAGCAGGGAGACTAATGCTCACTCCAGCATAAACAAAGCCACACTGACGATGTGTCAACCACTCCCTCGTATTTTTGTACAATTTCCTTCTTCAATTATATCGTATTATTATTATTATATTATTATTATTATTATTACTATTGTTATTATTAGCAGTAGCAGAAATGTTTGATTCTTTGCTGTGTTCAAGACTAAACACATGATGTCACCGTCCAATACCTGTCCGAATAGCCATTCCAACATGCAGTCATGAATGGGTTTACATTATTTATACTGTAGTTTAATAGCAAATAATGAACAAACAAAGCACTCACCACACTGAGTGGTGGGAGGGCTGGCTGCCAGTTGCGGGGGTCGGAGGGAGGGTAGTAGGGACTCGCAGTGGTTGGGGAAGTGGTGGAGGCATTGGTGGAGTCTGTGGTATTTAATAACATACATGTTATTAAAGCATAACATGTATATATTTACTACAATTTACGACGTTTTCATGTATTTTATGATTGTTCATGGTTCAACAAGTTAAGGAAGCAGTTTTGTATTATATTTCCCTACAATATATTGGGGCACCAAACATTCACGGTTTTTCAACATTCGCGAGGCTCTTGATCCCCTAACCCTCGCGAATGTTGAGGGAGACCTGTATACTCTGATAATTATATGTACTCATTCTCTCTCATTTATTCATTTTACCTTGTTTACTCATCTCTCACCCTACTTTAAGGTAAATAATGTCGTAGTATACTACGTGTGGGTGGGGTGGGGTGGCCTGGCCTGGCTGGCTGGCTACCATACCTCCAAACAGCAAATATCCCAAACCCCTCCTTTAAAGTGCAGACATTGCACTTCCCACCTCTAGGACTCAAGTCCAACTAACTGGTTTCCCCGAGTCCCTTCACAAAATATTACCCTGCTCACACTCCAACAGCTCGTCAAGTCCCAAAAACCATTCATTTCCATTCACTCCTAACACAGTCACACATGCCTGCTGCATGCCCAAGCCCCTTGCACACAAAACCTCTTTTACCCCCTTCCTCCATCCTTTCCTGGGATGACCCCTACCCCTCATTCCCTCCACTACAGATTTATACACTCTCCAAGTCATCCTATTTTGCTTCATCCTCTCCAAATGACCAAACCATCTCAGCCCTCTTAATAATACTTTTAGTAACTCCACACCTCCTAATTTCCACACTATGAATTCTCTGCATAATACTGACACCACACACTGCCCTTAGACACGACATCTCCACTGCAGCAGCATTTACAACCCATGCTTTGTGTTGGTACTGCTATACTCTCACACATTCCCTTCTTTGCCTCCATGAATAACGTTCTCTGTCTCCACAGGTACCTCAATGCACCACCCACCCTCTTTCCCTCATCAATTCTATGGGTTACCTCGTCTTTCATAAACTCAAAATCTGAAAAAGTTCACTTCATCCATACCCCCTCCCTCCAATGTGATATCCAATTTCTCTTTACCTAACTCATTTGATACAAAATTACAAACTTTGCATCAGACAACTTGTAGCTCAGTGACAGCACTTTCAGCTCACAAATGAAGGCCCCAAGTTCATCCCTGAGTCGCATACATGTAAGAGCAAGTCACTTTATACCTACGAGTAATGCAAAGATAAACAGTAAAGTGCAAGCATTTAAATGCCTATATATTACCTATACTATTTGGCTCACTGACCTCCATCTTTTTTTATGGTACACCTTATGCCCTATATTCCCCTAGAAGTAAACAGATACCTGGGTGTTAGCCAACTGTTATAGTTGAGCATCCTGGGGGGTGGTAGTAAGCTTATTTAGGTACACGTACACATAAATACAGACAGTTACACAAAATATCATACATGTAACTGTGTAAATTACCTACGATAAACCAATAAAGTCAAAGTGACTTATTTCCACTGAGGTTCTTGTATGCCTCACATAGCTGGGCTGAGCTTTGAAATAAGGTCTTAGCCCATTAATTCAGTAATGTAAAGAAGGACAGAAAAAATGGCTTACCTAGCGTCAAGCCTCCAAACACCAGAGCCAGTGCTGTATACCTCACCCAGGGCTTGTGGTGTGTTAAGAGGTAGTATATTAAGACAAACACAATGTTCTCTGCCACCACCACCATGTAGAAGGTTAACATTCTCCAGCGTGAAGGTCCCTCCTGCCAGATGTTAAAATTTGACACTGTAAATTATAAATGCCAATTAAATAAACTTTTTCTTATTACAAATCAAGACTCCAAAACAACATGAAAAGCATAACACTATTGTATATAGTGATAATATACTATGCATACAAGCATAACACTACTATATATAGTGATAATATACTACATATACAAGCATAACACTACTGTATATAGTAATAATATACTACGTTTACAAGCATAACACTACTGTATATATAGTGGTAATGTACTGTGTATACAAGCATAAAACAACTGCATATAGTGATAATATAATATGTATAAGAGGGTAACTCAAAAAAGAAACACTTTCACATAATCGCTGTCTTTGTAGAGATGCTCAGATACAACAGTTTAGATGTCACTCCAAACAGCCAATATCCCAAACCCCTCCTTTACAGTGCAGGCATTATACTTCCCACCTCCAGGACTAAAGTCTGGCTAACCGGTTTCCCCTGAATCCCTTCACAAAATATTACCTGCTCCACAATAGGTTAGGTTAGGTAAGGTTCGTAAGGAAACAGGACAAGTGTTCTGTGACGCTCCGACAGCTCGTTGAGTCCCAGAAACCCAAATTCATCTCCACTCACTCCTATCTACATGCTCACACATCCTGCTCTATGTCCAAGCCCCTACACACAAAACCTCTTTTAACCCCCTCCCTCCATCCTTTCCTAGGACAATTCCTACCCCCTCCTTCCCCCACTACAGATTTTTACACTCTCCAAGTTATGCTGTTTTGCTCCACCTCTCTAAATGACCAAACCGCCTCAACACCTCCAGCTTTAGCTTCCTAATTTCCACACTACAAGTTCTCTGCATAATATTTACGCCACACGTGCCCCCTTTGACACGACAAACTCCATTGCCTCCAGCCAGTTTCTGATGGGACAGCATTGCTGAGAGTGACTGCACCATTAGCAATTTAGATTTCCACTCTGCTAAACACTGTGCTTCAAAGAATTTCATATACTCCAGCACTTTTAAAAACATTGCTGAGATCTATAAATAATTTCCATATATTTCTAGACAAAATATGTGACTGAGGCAGGTGAACATGTTCACATGTCCAATGTGTTTGTTACCATTTGATTACTAAAAGCCATACCTAATAGTTGAGTAAGAACAAAGACAGGCTATGATATCACGAGATCTATTACAAATTGTAATTACAGAACATCTACATACATAAAAAAAAAGTTTAAATCGGCAAAAATTTCTGCAAGCGGTAAGAGTCACTGTTGCCATAAAGGGGAGCATCCAGAGTCAACTTCGCTGCATTATATCCTCATAAGCACTGGACTTAATTTTTTTGTCTTATTTTCAAAATATTCGGAGTGCTAGCAGTAAAAATGTAGATCTATGTTTTTGGGCAGTTAAAGGGGTTTAAGAAAAAATTGAAGAAAATGCAGATGAGTGAGTATGTACATATATGTGTATATGCAAGTATAGTGTGACCTTTTTGTAAGTAAAAGTAACAAGATATACCTGTTATCTTTTGGTTTGAGACAGAAAAAAGATACCAGCATTCCTACCATTAGTAACAAAATACAGGTTTCCATCTTACACTCATTTAGCAGGACAGCAGTACCTCCTTGGGGGGTTGCTGTCTACCAACATATTACTTATAAATAAGTCACTTTGACTTATTATAAAAAAATACTCATTATAAATAAGTCACTTTGACTTGGGGGGAAATGGCTGATGTGTTTAAAAAAAAATTAATTAATAATAAAAGGACCTCAAAGGTGAAAGCACTCTAGCAATTAACAGATGAAGAATAGTTTCTTGCATTTCCCTTTCATTTAATGGGATGCACAGGTTTAGCTCTTACCTGAAGAATCTTTCTCATTCTCTAAGTTGAAAACCAACCATGGATTTGTCCAAAAAGTGCTCCCTGAATTTCTCATGTCCAAATAGTGAATAGTGAATGCTATGTGCAAGTGTTTGGGTTTAAAATAAGGAGAGATAACGGTATTAAAAGGCCATTTAAATGCACTACTGAAGCAGGGTAATCCTTTAGAGTGGCTGCACTCTAAAAGGGTTACAGGGAATGTTATTGATCAAAGGCTCATTTGAACTGTGATATCTGCAAACTTCTGGCAAGATACTGAGTGATGGTGAATGTGTTCCCTTCTTTGAGTCATTCAACCTTTTTGGGAGAACAGTCAATGTGGTAATGAAAAAGAGTAAATGGCACAATACCATGACTGGAACAATACACACATAACCCACACATAGCGATTAGTCAATGGTCCAAATTGGACCGAAACATCATCATGAGCCTGTCCTATGTGTGGGTCATTTGTGTATGGTAAAGAAAAGGTTTACAACATTTTATAACCAGTCTGTGATAAATACACAGATTAATTTTTTCATGAGAGGGAGGAAAGGGAAGGTAACACGTGGTAATGGTACTATAAAATTTAAATGTACATATACAGGTACATACATGACAAACTTCATTACCATAAACTACAAAAAATGTTGAATTAAAAATAATCCTCACAAGGAATTGTGCACACATATTTTGCTTACTTACCCTGAGATTAAAGAAACAAAAGCAGTAAGTAACTGCCATGATGAAATTAAAAACACACTCTTCCCATTTTGTTAAGCTGAAGCCAGTTTTCTGACTCACCACCCATACAAACATTGCTGCCACATGAAAACCTGTAGAAAACCACTCCCGTCAGATATATTGTCAATGATGAATTTTTAAGTAAACTGCCAAATTTCTGAAAGTGAGTTCGGTACTCAGACTTGCAGTTAAACAAAAGTTTAACTGCAAGTCTGAACAGATTTAGTAGAGAAAGTAATGCCACAAACAGGAATAGCTTGGTTGATCTGGAAATCAACAAGAAAATCTAGTTATCAGATACATTTATAAATCATAGGAAAGCATTAAACCTCTATGGATCATACAGAGCCTGGGTACAGACAATATTCAGGTTTAACCCACTGAAGGAGAGGGTAGCTACAATTACTTGGATCAAGAGTTCTCCCCCTATAAGGGTGCAGTAGTGCAAGAAGTTCAAGAACCCTTAAAACCTGTCACAGGCATGCCTCCATTAGTAGCTTTTAAATATAATCGTTACAATATTGTGAATGTAACAAATTAAGTAATACATTAACAGCAACAGAACTAGCAGACTAGCATTTACGAATCCACTACTTAGTCGGTATATGTGAGGCCACAGGATTAATCTCAGTGCTCTTTACATAATTTTCTTTACTCTTTGAGAATGGATTTGATGGCAAAGTGCCTTACTGTATTACTGGGTAAAATGAACAATACTGTCTGGCTTCATAGTGTGCAAAACATACAATACTGTATAGCTTCACAGTGTGCAAGTGTGTTATCTATTAGAGAGAAAATTTAAACAGTTTTAGATCAAAATATACACATCACTTTTTGTGTGTTCATTTTTTCTGTCCAGGTATTATTATAATTATTATATTCTGGAAAAGCCCTAAACTTGTAGGGGTCATACAATGTCTGGAGAGTGGGAAGTAATCAGGTTTGATCTGAGTAAGGGAAGGGGTAGCTCCAATTCCTTGAATTAAGAGATCGTGAAGAGTTATCCCTAAATAGCTACTCATTTTTCATCAGTATTTACAATATTAATGTAAGTATGTAATGACAGATACCGCACAGTTTAACCCATAAACGATCCAAACATATATATATACGTTCTTACCGCTAGTGCCCCAAACGTACATAAATGTTTTATTTTCCCTGCCTTTAAATATGGCATGATTGGCCTGAGATGCCTTGTCAGCATAGAATGGGTCATAACACTCAGTGTGCACTTTATTAAAAAAATCTGGGACCACTTAGTACCTTGTGGGAGCACCAGTTCAAATGAGAGCCAGCTAGAGTAAACATGGGATTCACTGATTTCATGTAGCATTAATTCTCCCATTTTAAGAGGAAAGTGATGTTGACCCCGAGTTTAGTGGCTTTGAGGTGGATGTGGCCATAAGGGGTCGAGGAAATATAAAAAAAAACCTCGATAATAACCCATGTGCAACACCCTTTCAGAATGTCTTATAACCTATGCCTTAAGTAGAGAAACAATTCTGGAACGTAATGCTTGTTCAGCAGGCTGGCTGACTGGCTGATTGGCTGGCTGGCCGCCTGGCCGGCCGACTGCTGGCAGCCTGGCTCCATTTGTTTGTCTGTGTCAATGTCTATCTCTGTCTCTATCTCTGTCTCTGTCTATCTTTGTCTGTCTCTATCTTTGTCTGTCTCACAGGTACACATAAATACAAGTATACATAGTGATAACCTAGGATAACCCAAAAAATCCAGACAAAGTGCTATACTCTGCTTGAAGATACAAGTAAACATGATGACACAGTCTTCTGGCTCTCTCTGAGACAGAGAGCTAGATGGATAGACAGATAGACAGGGAGCTTGACAGACAGACATGTTTGTGTACCAGTGAAAACAAAGCAAGGGCCGATGCTCATCAAATGTCAATCCTTATCTAATGTTATCTCATCTTATCACTTCACTGTCAGGGGTGGACTGAGGCTTGTTTTACATGCTTCAAGGGAACTAATTATTACGTATTATTATTGTTATTATTACATGTATTCTACTTTTTCTTTTTTTTTTTTTTAACCCTTTCAGGGTCCGTGCCATAGATCTACGGCTTCACGTTGAGTGTCCAAACCATAGATCTACGCCAAAATTCTAGCGCCGTCAAATTTAGCGCGAAAGCGCTCATAGGCCTACATGTGAGAGAACGGGTCTGCGTGGTGGGTGTGTGCCATAAACAAAAAATCTAGGCACCCGCATAGCATTGTGGGAACGCCAGCTCAGTTACCCTTGTTCACCATGCCTCGTCGCAAGTCAGCTCTCACTCCCCGGAAAATTGGGACTCTCCTCTTCCTATCTGATAGTTCTGACACTGATGGAAGTGGAAATGAAGACGAATTCTACGGCTTTGATCAGTTAGTGACCGAAAGGAATGACCAGGATATCGATAATAGTGCAGAAAACCCTGACGATCCTCGACCTTCTACCTCTGGTGTGGGCACTCGTGACTCATGGTCGGTTGTGCCTCAACGCAAGAGAAAACTAACATTTTCGCATGGCCAGGCCTCTGACTTCAGTAATGATGATGATAGTGATGTGGATTGTGATTTTATTGCGCTCGACGATCATTCGAGTAGTGATAGTGAGGAATCATATTCACCAGTGAAGTGTCGGTTTGTTCGCCGCCGCATGCGCTCGGGTAGTGTACCCTATGCTGTGCCCAGGGGACGGAGTACATCCCGTGGCCCTACACCAGTTTTAGGTAGTGATAGTGGGGATGATGTGGCTACACTTGGCATGGATAGACCACAGGCATCAGTGAATGGTGGTAGTGGTGATGGTAGTGGCACCGCCATGCGTGACTCACCAGCCCACGCTGCTGACTCGTCAGTTCAAGGACAAAGTGGAGCGTCAGCCACCAGCCCACCACAACCACAACCCCCCGCACAACCAGCCTAGAGTCCATTCCACTAGCAAACCGTTGTGGTTGGCAGCAAACCCAAATTTTTGTTCCCCCAAGCCTCACCACTTTGATGACTTCAAAGGGAATTCTACCATTGTCCCCTTGGAACCAGGGCCCCAAGAACTGGAATTTTTAATTTTTTCTCTGACCAGCCATTGATGGAAATTTGTCAGGAAAAGTAAAGTATTTTGATTTAACCCATGGCAAATACCCCATATCACCAAGTCAGACTCAAGGTGGGAAAAAAACGACTGTTGCAAAAATGATTTGTTTTTGAAACAAAAAAGCTTATCCCTCATGTCTAAAGCATAATATAAAAGCATACTGGTCCACAGTTTTTGCTAATTTCTCCCGGCTTCGTAAATCTCCAGTGAACAGGTTTACTTACTCTTACGATGTTGCACTTCTCTGACAAAACCGGCCTGACAGAATGACGGGTTATAAAGTTAAAATGTTTTCATGTATCTAAAACAAAATTCAGATTACTTTATCCATTCAAGAATGTTGAAATTGACGATTTCTTTGATTTTGTTAAAGGTAGACTGTCATTCAAGCAGTATAACCGAGCTTTAGTATAAAACGTTTGTACTCTGTGACGTGCAGTGGCCTGGGGGGATATTGTTGTATACAGGGGAAGTAAAACATGAAAGATACCAAATGTTGTTGGGTATCCAGGTGACGTAGTGGAAACATAGGGCACCTTATTTTGGGTAAGGGGCTACATTATTACTGAAAGGGTACAAAGCCCATTACTCATGATTTCAGGAGTGAACAAGACAATGTTGTGGCACAGTGCGTTCAATGTAAACAATCCGGTCAACGCGGGTGCTTCGGTGTGACGTGCAGGTGTTTACGCCAAAAATCAGGGCATTAGGGTGGCATACAAACGAGTTGTACATTGTTGACAACCTTTCACCGTGAGAAATGCAAGACAGTGGCAAAGTTGATCAGGACAAATAAAGTACCCAAAAACCATGACAGGATTGATTTTACAAAACATGTGCTTGGTTGAAAAAATGTGAACATCAGATTTGGTTTTGTTGACCGTGTTCATAAGAGTTACAAGTGGACATGAAACTTTTCTTCCCTCATGGACATTTCAAAGCTCAATGCATATAATAGTACCCAAATAAAGACTGGCAACAAATACCGTATGGGAATTTTGTTTGTCTGTTGTCAAAACCATAATGAAGTACCAGGGAAAAAACCCTCTAACAACAAAGGGCCTCGAATTACTCAGGATTACCCAAGCGTTTGAGGGGGGAAGGTATCTTTCATAAACCTTCCTTTAAACCCGAAGAAATTTTTTCAGAAAAATGCATCCTTTCACAAAAAAAACGACGGCAACAAAAACGCAAAGACACTCGGTTTTTTTGTGGGAATGTAAGGTGCCCCTGTGCATGGTGCCCTTTTTTCAAGGAGTTTTAAACTCCCCAGTTCTAAAACCTGTCCAGTGATTGTAAATAAGTAAAATATGATAGAAAATTAGTATTTTACAAGATTTGTGGTTTATTGTAATAAACAACAGCGGTAAACAATAATATGATAACTTTAGTGCGGTTATTGTGTTCAATACAGTGAGTTTATATATATACATTATATACAGTATTGGTCTCTCAGGCTCCAAATGTTAGTAGGAAAAGAAAAAAATTGGAAAAGAAAAGAAAAAACTATAAAAACCGCTAAATAATGTAATGCGCATATGTGGAATTCGTCGATGTTGCCGCCACCACATGATTTTGGACAAACTTCTTGGCACTGTATCTCGGTAAGTACTGATCAGAATTTTTTTTTTTGTCTTATTACCTTCACAAAAATATGCTCTTTAATTCTGTAAGAAAAAAATAATTGTTTTTTTTTTTCAAAATTTCTTGGACACTGGAGCACCACTTCAGATTTTGGCCTTGGACCCTGAAGGGGTTAACAAGTCGGCCGTCTCCCACCGAGGCAGGGTGACCCAAAAAAGAAAGAAAATCCCCAACACTTTCACCTCACTCACACATAATCACTGTTTTTGCAGAGGTGCTCAGAATACAACAGTTTAGAAGTAGATACGTAGAAAGATACACAACATATCTCTCCAAACTGCTAATTTTTCTTCTTCTTACTATTATTATTATATACTTCCACATATCCAAAACATTGCTGGGACCTATAAATACTTTGCATATATTCCAAGACAATAGTAAATAGCCAAGGCAGGTGTAAATGTCCACCTGTCAGTGTGTTTGTGACAATTTGAGTACAATTTCAGTACCTAATACTAGTGTCAGAACAAAGATTGGTTATGAAATGACAAGAACTACTATACATTATAATTACCAGAACATAAAAATTATACAAAATAACATGAAAAATAGAAAAAAGGTACATCGGCAACACTTCTGCAAGCAGCAGGACTGATGTTGCTGTCACGTGAGCATCCAGTGCCAACTTCTTGGTCTCATATCTCTGTAAGTACTGACTCTTAATTTTTTTTTTATCCTATAACACTTAGAAAAATGTGCTCTTCATTTTCATAAAAAAAATTATTTTTCAAAATACAGTGGACCCCCGCCTTACGAACGCATCGTGTTACGTTAGAACTGTTATACAAAGCATTTGAACGCAAAAATTTTGCCTCGCCTCATGATAAAAAACTCGCTTTACGTGATTCGTCTGGGATGCGTCCCACGTGTGGCCTCAGCTGCCCCGTGAGTGCCAGTGTTTACAAGCCAGCCAGTGCGGTCGCATCCACACATACATTTGGTACATTTCACCTTATCCCAGTGTTTTTTGTGCTTGTAACTGCAAAATAAGTCACCGTGGGCCCCAAGAAAGCTTCTAGTGCCAACCCTGTTGTAAAATGGGTGAGAATTAGTATGGAAATGAAGAAAAATTTTGAAGGGTTTGGGGCTAACCCTGAGAAGCCTATGCCAGTTGTGGAATCCATTGTGCCTACTTCAAAGATTAAGGAAATGTGTGCAAAGTGGGTTGAACTGCAAACCTTTATGGATGAAAATCACCCTAACACAGCTATTGCAAGCCGTGCTGGTGACTATTACAATGACAATGCTGTGGATCATTTTAGGCAAATCTTAATAGAACGGAAGGTACAGACCTCTATGGACAGATTTGTTGTGCGACAGAGATCCAGTGACTCTCAAACTGGTCCTAGTGGCATTAAAAGAAGAAGGGAAGTAACCTCGGAAAAGAACTTGCTACCTCAAGTCCTAATGGAAGGGGATTCCCCTTCTAAACAATAACTTCCACACTCTCCCCTCCTCCCATCCCATCAATCACCACCAGATCTTCAATAAAGGTAAGTGTTATGTATTCCATTCTTAGTAGAGTAGTAATTGTGCATGTCTTCTTCAGTTTGTGTGTATTAAAATTAATATTTCATGTGGTAAAAATTTTTTTTTTTCATACTTTGGGGTGTCTTTCACGGATTAATTTGATTTCCATTATTTCTTATTTGGAAAATTAACTCGGCTAACGACAATTTCAGCTTACGATGAGCTCTCAGGAACGGATTAATATCGTAAGGCGGGGGTCCACTGCACAGGCCACTGGGGTAGTGAACGCATACAGTACATATGTTTGGACCGTTTATTGGTTAAATTGAATGAAATCTTAAGGTAGTTCTTTTTTTTATGAAAGTAACTCACCCATGATTAAAAGAAACCAGCCATCCAAGACAGTGGCTAAGAGAGCTAGAGCTCCCACCCGTGCAGCAATCATGCCAACACGCCAGACTGTCTGTAAGACTAGTCCAGATATTGACATCTTGTGTTTGTCGAGACGAGTGTTGCGCATGGCTTTAGTATAAGCTGCTATGCTCCAACCCAGGGATAACATCGATGTAAATGCTGTCAAAGCTAAAGGAAGAAAATAACATGAGAAAAGTACTGGCAATATATTTAAGGTTAGCTCTAAACCCGTGTGGGTCATTCAGTGCTACAGAGAAAAACAACAAAAAACTCTTTAGCTTTAAATATTTTGCTAAAAAAATTAAATGATAAGATAATTTTAAATTTAAGTAGAGTAGTATTTATACCAAATAAGCAGTTACACATTAAAAAAAAAATAACTGAGGTGTAATTTAAAACAATGAAATTTCTCTTTGTAGCTGTTGTGCACTATTTTACTCCTGGTCTTTTAGTAATATAAAATCTTTATCTCTGTCCTGTTATTCAATTTAGGAATTAATCTTCAACCTTATTATTTCTTTATTGCTGTTCATGAGAAAGTGAACAATTCATAAAGACATATCCTGGGGAATGGAAAATAATCAAATTTGAGTGAATGGGAAAGGAGCCCCAATTCCTTGGATAAAAAGCCCTTCAGCATCAAGGCATCCCTCATTGTAGGGATCTTCAACCATAGTAAATGCTTTTTTGTTAAAAGTACCATCTCTTTCCAACTTCTGACTTCTTCTTTCTAATTTACCATATTCAAAATTCCTTTCCTCGATATTGAGGCCATCAGTCGTGCTGTCCTTCCTGCGAGGAAACAAAATTATTTTCCACCCCCAGGACTGCACCACCTCTATGAATTATGGGCTTTAAACAAAAACATTTTTTTATATATCTGCGATACTATGGAAAGTACATATGCTTTAAATATGTAAAATATGCATTCATTATACTTTTCATGTAATCATTTAAAAAAAAAGGACTGTATTATACAAAAAAATCCATAAATTCAAAAACAGAAATATAAAACATATAAATTTTGAGTATGGTACAGTACATGGTACTGCTGAATAAATTATACTGTCCTACCTAGCAAGGAAATTGAAAGAGCCACATTATATCCTATAGGCCGCCATGTGTTTTGGGTATAATAATTTGTTTCTCATAATTTTTTTACGAAACCTCCCTGAAACTTCGATCACATGATGTATATACCAAGGTCTTATTTCACTTTTACTAAAAGAAATTGGTAATAAAGTATTTTGGATGCTGGGTCTGTGACAATCCAAACTCCTCCAATTATTTTATTAACCCTTTCAGTGTTTCCGACATACTAGTATGTCTTACACACCAGGGTTATTGATGTGCCAGTACGCATAAATTCTAGCGCCTTCAAATCTAGCGAGAGAAAGCTGGTAAGCCTACATATGAAAGAATGGGTCTATGTGGTCATTGTGCACAGTATAAAAAAAATCCTGCAGCACACAGTGCATAATGAGAAAAAAAAAAACTGACCGTGTTTTTGGTTTAAAACAGCGACTTTGCACTGTATTTTCATATGGCATTTATGGTTGTATTCTAGTTTTTTTGGTCTCATTTTATAGAATGGAAGACATATTACAGAAATTGAGTTGACTTTGATTGGTTTCACAATGAAAAGTACCTTGAAATTGAGCTCAAAGTAGCAAAAATGTTCGATTTTTGCCAAAGTTCAAAAGTAAACAAATCATGCCACGCATCCAATACACGTCAACCGGTGAGTTTAATATTCTTTCACAAGTGCGCTGGTATTATTTATACCATTTCTACACTCATGCAGTAGTCTGCATAACAGTAAATCTTCTATTTTTTTGTGAGAATAAAAATTCAAAGTGGAAAGCAAAAGAAATGTAAGAGGGGCCTGGAGACGTGACTAATGAACAGAGAAAATGTTATTTTAGTGCCAGGAATGTTTGTCCCATTTATTCTGGACCCTATTTGGAAATTGGTATCTTCTGAAATTTGTGTGAAATTGGCAAAATTGCCAATTTCTGATCACTTTATTGGATAGCTAAAATCAGTAAATGGGTGGTTTCTTGTACTCATTTGATAGAAAAAATGGAGTTCTAGCAAAATAGTTATGATTTTTGTCGAATAGTACAATGGAATTGGCCAAAAATAGGGCTCAAAATGGGCAAAATCGCCAATGCGTAAACATCGTCGAGACCGCTAACTTTGCAAGAGCATAATTCCGTAAGTTTTCCATCAAATTTCATACTTTTGGTGTCATCATGATCGGGAAAAGATTCACTATCATTTCATAAGAAAAAATAACTTTTTTTTTCTGAAAAATTTTCAACCCTGAGAACAAGTTTAGGAGAAGGTCTCTCGACCCTGAAAGGGTTAAAGACAATATAAAATATTAACTCTGTAAAATATATACGTATATGTAATTGCTACAGTAAATAACCATTATTATGGTAATGTCTTAATATACAGTTTTATGAAGTGATTCCACAAAGTTTAAAAGCTGACAAATCTGCTTGAACAATAGACATAAATATGAAAAATTTAAATTTTGCACACTCAGATAAGTTGCAGGAACAAAATTAGAGGAAGAAGTAGTGTATGAGGAAGAAGGGAAGAATAAAGATTGAGGAAGAATTTAAAATAAGTGCAATGTAAATACAGCCTCTCCTCACTTAGCGAAGTACTCTTTTACCCACACCTTGGACTTATGATGGACTCTCTGACCAGTATTCATACCTAAATAATATATATTAGAGATGTTTTCCTCTATTCTGTTTATTTCAATATAAAGTACACTACTGAACAAACATTTAAAAATATACCAGAAATGTTATAAATGGTGCAAAGGTGACATTAAAACAATGTCAAAGATGGATGACACAAACTCACTACCATTATAGTATGCACCTTACTTAGTGACGAATTCGTTTAATGGCGTGATCTTAGGAACAGAACTCTGTCATTAAGTGAGGAGAGGCTGTAATGTATTGTGTTCCATATGCAAAAGCAAATATTGCAACCATGAAAAGAAGCATCTCTGCACAGTATAATATCTCACCTGTCCAGACACTGTAATCACTGTAACACATCATAATGTAGAGCTGCAAGACTAACTGAGGGGCAGACTCCATGAAAGATTCGAACATACGCAACATGCAAACATCACTCTGCTGCCGGAAGAGATCATCAAAAACGGCCATTTCTTGCGTCCTGCGTGCCTTTAATCCTGTCTCAAACATTATCACATACCTATGAAAAGAGGACTAAATCAGACTAAGAATAAAACCAACTGCAAAAAAAGTTTAAAAGAAAATACAGACTATGGAGAGTACTAGATAACTTCTCAGACATAAAGTTATGATACATGTAAACATGTATTATTTTGGCAGTTATGGTCCTGACTTTCTGCTCCAGTGACTCTAATCAGGCATTATATTTTTCCAATATATACAGCATTCTACTTTACATGTACTTGAAATACTATGAAGTGGTTAAATATTGAAACCTGTTTTATATTGCAGAATACTTTAGGATAGACAATTTATTTAGGTGAAAGAAAGTTTGGAATCCAATGCCACTCAGATATAGTATATTGAGTAGGTTAGGCATCCAATGCCATTCACATAAAATACAGAGACCTACCATGCATTTTCTTAATGAAATGTAATATAGTACTTTACACTATATACAGTTATTAGTACTTGAACAGTGTATTTTTTTTTTCAACAAACTGGCTGCATCGCACCCAGGTAGGGTGACCCAAAAAAGAAAAATAAACATTTTTCTTTTTAAATTTAGTAATTTATACTGGAGAAAGGGTTACTAGCCCCTTCCTCCATGCATTTTAGTCACCTTTTATGATATGCATGGCTTATGGAGGAAGAATTCTGTTCCCCTTCCCCATAGAGATAAGAGGAAATAAACAAGAACAAGAACTAGTAAGAATATAGAAGAAAACTCAGAGGTGTGTGTGTGTATATATAAACCTGTACATGCATGTGTTGTGTGGCTTAAGTGTAATTAGAAGTAGTGAGACATACCTGAAATCTTGTATGTTTACACCAGCAATCCTACCATCATGTAAAACAAGTACAGGTTTCCATTTTTCACTCACTTGGTAGGACGGTAGTACCTCCCTGGGCAGTTGCTTGCACAGTATATATAGTCATTAACCCTTAAACTGTCCAAACGTAGATCTACGTTTGCACCGCTAGTGCTCTGAACGTAGATCTACATTTTTTTTACATTTGAAAGCATGTATAATGAAACATAGGTCTACGTTCGAGAGCTAGCAGTGCAAATGTAGATCTATGTTTGGACAGCTGAAGGGTTAATATAGTACTAGTACAGTATACAGTCATTAATATAGTACTTGTACAGTATATACAGTTAACAGTATAGTATGTGTATGGTACACATAGTCCTTAATGTAGTACTTGTAAAGTATACACATTCCATTAATACAGTACTTGTACAGTATACACAGTCATTAATACAGTACTTGCACAGTATATAGCCACGCATGTTTGGGCCAGAAACCTTTCTGCTTTAAACCATTTCAAATTAAATAATAGGTCTAATGGGGTAACATGCCTTCCTGAACACTGCCCTAGAGTTTTCAGGAACAACCTCCCCCCTTTCCTTCCCTATTATTCACTGAGATTTCCATGTTTTAAACTGAGGTTTTAATTAAAGTTAGTCACTGCAGAATAAAATAGGTGGTAATTAATAAAAAAAAATGTAAATATTAAAATACTGTACCTAGGAGAAACTTACCGATGCATTATACCCCAGAGACAAACGTGTGCCACCCAGTAGCACTTGGTAGTGGGATGTTCATCGACAATGTGCCATCGCATGGACAACACCATGACTATCACTGCTGGCAACAACACTAAAACCAGAGTCAGTCCTGCCCATAGTATTGATCCAGCCAAGAAGTATCTTACTACTAAATTAATATCTGAAATAAAACACAAAAAAATTTATTTTGTACCATATGCATATAGTGTATGAACATGAAACTACTGAATGCATTATGTATTTCAGGCTACTGAATACATAACACACTAAATGTAAAAAAAATATTACATGAAAATACAAATTTTAATGAGAACTGAGTATTTAGTACAAGACATTTTAAATACTGTATAAGTTCAATATCAAGAGCATTAAAAATACAAGAATGATAATGTAATAGTCTTTCCTCATTTAACGATGGAGTTCTGTTCCCAATACTACACTGATAAATGAATTCGTCACTAAACGAGGAGCATACTATAATGGTACAGTGGACCCCCGGTTAACGATATTTTTTCACTCCAGAAGTATGTTCAGGTGCCAGTACTGATCGAATTTGTTCCCATAAGAAATATTGTGAAGTAGATTAGTCCATTTCAGACCCCCAAACATACACGTACAAACGCACTTACATAAATACACTTACATAATTGGTCACATTCGGAGGTAATCGTTATGCGGGGGTCCACTGTAGTGGGTTCATGTAAACCCAAATATTTGACATTGCTTTAATGTCGCCCTTGCAACCATTTATAACATTTTTAGTATATTTTTAAATGTTTATACAGTAGTGTACTGTATATCGTAATAAACAGAATAGAGAAAATCAGCTCTAATATACATTACATGTATTTAGGTATGCATACTGGTCAGAGCCCGTCGTAAGTCCAAGCTCTCAGTAAACGAGTACGTCACTAGGTGAGGAGAGGCTGTATGCCCATAATGCCTAGGCATAATAGAGGCTCTCTTTGCATTGCAACCCACTATTGTATATACACAATCTCAATGTACTGTTTGCAAAGACAAATAAATAAATAAATAAATGCATTGGAGGTGCAACTAAAATTAATATTTAAGGAGAATGGTGTAAGCAATAACTTATTATTTTTTATACTATTCATCTGGCAAGTTATTCCACATTTTTGACCCTTTTATTTGTAAACTTGAAATTCATGGTCTATTAAGAGTAAAAGCAGAGGTAACTCCACAAGTTACTGTATATTGGAATAACTCAGGGGTGGCAAGCAGGCCAGAAAAAGGGGCTAGGAGACCTGTCTTGAATAATAATAATAATAATAATAATAATAATAATAATTTGGGATTTGGTAATTCTTCAGTGCCTATTCTTTGGAGAAATTCACAAGCAATCACACATCAAGCCATAAATACAACAACAATGACGGCAACAAAGAAATACGAGTTTATTTTTAAAAGTGATACAGTGGAACCTCAAAAATCGAACTTAATCCGTTCCAGGAGCTAGTTCTAATTTTGAAAAGTCTGAAATTCGAATCAATATTTTCCATAAGAAATAATGGAAATACAATTAATCTGTTCCAGAAACCCAAAAATATTCACACAAAAAATACATTTTATAGAGATTAATTACGGTTTTACATACATATAAAATAACATACATATAAAATAATACATACATATAATATTAAAAATAAAATAACATTTTTACTTACCTTTACTGAAGATTGGTGATGGCATCTGGAAGATAGGGAGGAGGAGAGAGGGAGTTGGGGTTAGTGTTTGGAAGGAGAATCTCCTTCCATGAGGACTTCAGGTAAAGCCCTCTCTGGGGTTACTTCCCTTCTCTGTCTTTTATTGCCACTAGGACCAGCTTGAGAGTCACTGGACCCCTGTCTCACAAAATAACTGTCCACAGTCCTCTGTTTCTGGTGCCTCTTTAACATTTCCCTCAAGTGGGACATGGTTCTGTCACTGAACTTGTTGCAAAGATGGCTTGTTTCAGCTTGCTCAGGGTGGTACTTCTGCACAAACATTTGGACATCATTCCACTTGGCACAAATCTCCTTAATCTTTGAAGAAGGCACCTCATCCACTCCCTCTTCCTCCTCTCTGAAGCAAGTTTCTCAGCTGTGGTTCTGATATTGCTAGCATATGGTTAGCATATTAACACCTTTCACAACATCAGCTTCCTTGATTTGTTCTTTCTTTGCCAGGATAGAACCGATGGTCGACTTGTTTTTCCCATACATCCTGGCAAGCTCAACAAGTCTCACACCACTCTCATACTTCTGTATTATTTCCTTCTTCACATCTATGGTGTTTCTCACTTTCTTTACCACAGGGGTGCCACTAGCAAGTTTCTTTGGGCCCATGGCAGCTTATTTCACAGTCCCACAAGCACTAAACACAACGAAATAATAGTAAAATGTGTGAATGAGAGCGCAGGTTAGTGTTCACTTAAGCATAAACAAAGCTAGACTTCTCACGGCGCCTGCGCGGGGACGCGGACAGAGCGGGCCAGTGGACAGGTCTCGTACCCGGCGGTCCGAAATTTGAAACGCGTTCAATTTTTGGTACACAGTTTGTCCGAAAAAATGGTCTTATTTTCGAAACGTTCAATATTTGGTACGTTCGATTTTCAAGGTTCCATTGTAGTATGATCATGAAGATCATAACCTCTGGAAAAGAGATGTGCTTATTACACTCACCTAAGTGACCATATGTACAAAATTACTCATACTGTTATTGCCTTATTAATGTTAAGTGTAAAGCTTGTCTGAAATGCTCTGCACATAAAGGGTCTTTCGGCATGTACACCCAACTGTAATACTCCTTTGTACAAACATGTATTATACTGAAATAAACTTCTTTTTCTTATTATTCTTATAAATAAGATTTAAACATGTGAACAGATTCCTCACTCATAAGCACATATTGCAGCTGAAGTTTCCTGCTTCAACCAAATATATGATCCAAAACAGCATCAAATTCCCGAAAATCGACCATCTTTATAATTCTTGCACAAAATTAAGACGATAGATTCTTGGAAATTGCACTTGCCAGATTTTTGTATTAAAAATCCATACATAATACTCAAAGACCACAACATTGTATCAATCGCATTTGCTAGAAAAATGACAGGATGGATAATGAGAACCTTCAAAACTAGGGCTGGCAAGCCCATGATGACACTCTTCAGGTCACTTGTTCTATCTAGGTTGGAATATTGTTGCACACTAACAGCACCTTTCAAGGCAAGTGAAATTGCTGACCTAGAAAATGTACAGAGAATCTTCATGGTACACATAAGTGCAATAAAACACCTCAATTACTGAGATCGTTTGAAGTTCCTCAACCTGTACTCCTTAGAATGCAGGCAGGAGAGATACATGATTATATGCACTTGCAAAATCCAAGAGCAATTAGAACCAAATCTGTACATGAAAATCACCCCTTATGAAAGCAAAGGACTCAGCAGACGATGCAACATCCCCCCAATGAAAACTAGGGGCGCCACAAGCCCAATAAGAGACAACACAGTAAGTGTCAGGGGCCCAAGACTTTTCAACTGCCTCCCAGCACACATATGGGGGATTACCAATAGACCCCTGGCTGTCTTTAAGGCAGTGCTGGATAGGCACCTGAAGTCAGTACCTGACCAACCGGGCTGGGGTTCGTACGTCGGGTTGCGTGATACCAACAGTAACAGTCGGGTTGATCTGGCCCTGATCCACCATGAAGCCTGGTCACGGACCGGGAAGTGGGGCACTGACCTCCGAAACCCTCTTCAGGTATACCCCAGGTAATGCCTTAAAATTCCAGTTCTATAGAACTGAAGGAGTTATACTAAAATAAACTAATACAATTATAGTCATGGGGAAGCTGGTAACGGAAGGTCAATATATTCATAATAGGGGGGTAGGAGGAGTGAAGTAATCAGATTTAACTGAAGAGATGACTATTCCAACTCCATGGATCAGGAGCTCTTCAGAATCATCAAGGTACCCCAAGAGGTAACTAAATTAGAAATTCAGAAAATTCTAATATTTAAGGAGAATCGTTAAACCTGTAGGGGTTGATTAATGGAATAAGTAATTTAGGTACAGGCACACATAAATAGTTACACAAATTATCACACATAGCAATATATAGCAATATAGGGGCTCTGGCGGCCTGGTGGTTAAAACTCTCGCTTCACACGGCGAGGGTCTGGGTTTGATTCCCAGCCAGAGTCGAAACATTGGGTGTGTTTCTTTCCACCTGCTGTCTATGTTCTCCATCAGTAAAATGGGTACCTGGGTGTTAGTGGACTGGTGTGGGTCGCATCCTGGGACACTGACCTAATTTGCCCGAAATGCTCAACATAACAAGCGGCTTTCTATATAGCAGTATTTTACTGATATCAACTATGGTGTGTATACCTTGTACATGTACTTGTTGTAAATCAAGATAATATTATATAACTATTATGCAAAAACAACCTCGGGGGGAGTTGAATGATAGCTCTTGGCTTTGTGTTGAACCCAATATACCATCATTCAACTCCCTCCCGTGGTTGTCTTGCAACTTGTATTGCTTGCTTGCAATTATTGCATAGGAACATAGAGGAGCATTGCAAAGACCTACTGGCCCATTCTAGGCAGGTCATAACTACCCAAAGTCAGGGGCAGCACAGCTCCAGTGCCTTGGATCAGGAACCCTTCAGCATCAAAACAATCCCCTTAATGATTTAAACTTAATTAATTCTATATAGTTTGAGGTGAGTTAACTGACCAGTAGCGACGTCCACCATGAATGTCACCATAGACACCACCATGAAGGTGGCGTCCAGGATAGTGAAGGAAGGAAGCACCATGACTCTGCCATCACTGCATGGTGATGTGTGAGAGATGGTACAAGCATCAACACTGACTATCATCATCTTAGTGACCGTTGATCATCCACCATCATCACTGTTGATGGTAAACAACCACACACATGCCTACCAACACTACCTACACCGCCACCTACACCACACATATCACTCAACATTTTACTTAGTATTGACTAACAACAACAAAAAATCCAGTATATATTTACTGAACCATATCTTATCATTAGTGCTTTATAACTGAATTTGAATATTGTATTTCTATTATTTTCTCTTTCCCTGCAGTTGTTACCCCTGAGGCCAGGTGCTCCCTTTAAGAGGGACAAAAATACCTCTTTTCACTTCTTATTTCTTTTATTTTAGTTGTATTTATAGATGACACGTTTTTATAATTTTGTTTTTATATAGAATCTCATATAATAGATTAACTGACAACCACGGGGGACGTGAAGAAGGTCACGGGTGGGCATAAATGTATATATATATATATATATAAGTAGTGAGACTTAGTACCCACATGTCCCTGTTAAAGGGAGCAGTGTGTTGGTCCAAATAACCACCACACACGAGTATTTCGTCCCCTTGGACCCGTTACAGTGGTCCCGGGAGCACGGACCACACTTAAAAACGTCCTCAACTAATGTAGGTTTAAGCAGTCAACCCACACACCCCCCCTTAACAAGACCAATGATGGAAATGAGTTACTTTGTATGACACCTCAATCTGTAACTGTAATTCCGTTGTTAAACTGTATTCCAAAATTCAGTTATTCTCCAAAATCCTAGTTTTTATTCTCTTGTTTATTTGTCAACTGTTACTATCTAAACACTGCCTCATAGTAAGTAAGTTGATTCAGATACAGGTACACACAGATACAGTTACATAAATTATCATACATATCAGCATATGTGTAGATTACCTAGGATAACCCAAAAAGTCAGACAAAGTGTCTTATTGCCATTAAATTTCTTGAATATGCCTTGACCTGTCCAGCAATCACAATTGATTTCCAGCACAGCTGAAATGTTGGCCATATTTCCTTCCGTGCCTTAGGTACTGCAGGCATTGAATATCTGGAAAAACAGGTGGGTTAGTTAGTTAGTTTAATATCTTTATTATGCACCCCATACCCATCCTGTGGGCAGTAGTCACCACATACCCATCCTGTGGGCGGTAGTCACCACATACCCATCCTGTGGGCGGTAGTCACCACATACCCATCCTGTGGGCGGTAGTCAAAAGATTACAAAGGTACATAATGGGTCCAGTGACTGGACCCCAAAGTTATGATAGCTGAACTAGTTACAAAGGTAATGAACTCCAGGTAGATCTGGTCACAATCATGGCAAGTTACAGAGGTAATGAATCAGCTTCACTCCTATACATGGTTACAGTCATGAACAAATTACAAAGTAATGAACCACTGATACGTCCACACCTGGTCACAATTGTAATGAGTTATAAAATACAAATATTAAGTGGTTCATACACCCACACTAGCGCGCGCCGCACACACATACACACACCAGGGCGCACGCACGGACATGTGCACACGAGCGTACAAATTATAGCATACACACAAGGACGCCACCACCCACACACCACACACACACACACCACACACACACACACACACACACACACACACACACACACACACA